AGGAGTGGAAAGAAATTACTAAATAGTTACAGACAAAAATATTAGGAATCTGATAGCTTTCCTGGATAGTGCTGTGAGTCCACTTCAGATTTCTGGTCATGACTCTGAAGTTTCTCTAATATCCAACCACTTATGTGCATTCATGGAAAAACCAGATGAGAGACAAAACAGCTGTAAATAGAAAAAAAAAAATCATGGCTTAAAAAAAATATATCCATGTCACAGTCACTAACAATGTTCAATCAAGCTGTGGCCCACGTAGCCCCATTTGTCTCCACCATCTCACAAAAAATTCTTATAAATCATATATTTGTCATACTTAGTCATGACATATTTAGTCATGAAGCTTAAATATTATTTCTCCCTCCCCCCAAAAATTATTTCTCTTTGTTCATGAATGCTTCTGCCACTATTATAAGGTAGATTTTTCAAAATGCATCTGATAGTCTTCTTATACATTCCAGAGGTGACTGCATTTCATTGCTTGAAGAAACTTTCTCTGTGTTAACTGAGATCCTAAAACAGAAAGATCCTAAAAATCTTCCAGAGTAGGAGAAAAATAGGAATGGGGATTAGACTTGGACTGGAGCAGTGCCGTCAAAAGAGGGACACTTCTTTTCAATCTAGAATTCAATATTTAACTTAACCACTATTCAAGTATGAGGGTTAAATGAAGACATTTCCAGATATGCAACTTCTGAATTCAGGAAGAATTTCAGTTTATATGTGCCCTGTAAAACAGAATAAGGAAGACATAGGATTCAGGAAATAAAGGATCCAACATAGGAGGAAGGCAAAAAGAATTCCCAAGATGACGACAAAGGAAGTCCTAGATAATAGGCAGAAGAAAAATGAAAACAGATTACCTGAAAATACTGAAAGATTATCAGTTCTGTCAGAATTTGAGGATGAATCAGTGATTGGTGCAAAGAAAACTAAGCAAATAAAAAACAAAAGAGGTAATTAATTTAGAGAAACAAAAGTTGTACAAGACAGAAAATGCGGGATGCCGGGGTGGCTCAGCAGTTGAGCGTCTACTTTCAGCTCAGGGCATGATCCCGGAGTACCGGGATCGATTCCTAAATCAGGATCCTTGTATGGAGCCTGCTTCTCCTTCTGCCTGTTCTCTGCCTTTCTCTCTCTGTGTCTCTCATAAATAAGTAAATAAATAAAATCTTAAAAAAAAAAAAGAAAATGTAATACTAGTACTCTATATGGGTCATCTGCAAGTACCAGGTACATTGTCACAGTCATATAAATACTGAATACTGATTTGACTCGGAACTGCGTTATGAGTGGGGAATGGAAGGATGGTTATGTAGGACAACCAAGTCCTCAACTTCCAAAATAGAAGTCCATAGGTGACGTTCAAAGATGGAAAATCAAGAAATAAGCTTATACATTAAGAACAAAGTAAATATAAAGGTATATACTCTCTGCAGAGAGTTGAAAGTAGCTCAACATTCTGAAATTGCTGATTTTTTTTACTACTCCCCAATTTAGGGCAGCCCCGGTGGAGCAGCGGTTTAGTGCCGCCTGCAGCCCGATGTGTGATCCTGGAGACCCAGGATGGAGTCCCACATGGGGCTCCCTGCATGGAGCCTGCTTCTCCCTCTGCCTGTGTCTCTGCCCTACCCCCCCGCTGAATAAATAAATAAATAAACTACTCCCCAATTTAAAATATGGCAATTTCATATAGCTTAATACATTATAACATTATTGATTTTAGAATAAGTTGCCATTTGACACAAAAAACAGTTGAAAATGCTCAACAGAAAAAAACCCTCTACTTTTTGTTATCAGACATTGTTGGGGGAATAATATACTGCAGTTTGAAGTAACAAAGTGTTACCACACATTCTATCACCATCACTGGCATAACAATATTAGTATTGCTAATATAAAGGATATACTTACTACTAAGACAGCAGTTAATTTAATCTATCTTCATGATACAGAAATTACTTTAGAATTTTTCTTCAAACATGATACTACAGAAATGCTAAACTATGGGTTGGTAAAGATTTTGATTAACAGAATGCTGACTAAAAAGGCCAGGATGTTTTTAAGTTCCTTTCTTGATACTAGCTAAGTCACTCTTGCAAAATAAAGTTCCACAATACTGCAGTACTATGCAAGCCTGTTTCAGTGATTATTCCGGTTATACTACTGTTTATCTAAGACTTCCACTTATGGTTTGTTTTAAGGGAATTCGTAAAAAAAAAATCTCATGCAGGCAGTTATAAGGTATTGGGGTTGCTTCGATATTAGTGACACTAGTTAATGAAGCCCTTGTTTTCAAGTTAACTTATTTTGAGTTCATTGATATTAAAATTTTATTTAAATTCTACATCATAAAACCAAAAGTTATCCAAATTGAAAAACCCACCTTTACTAATTTTGACTTTTACAAAAAAAGAATTTGACTATGCTAACATAAAACTTGTACCAAGAATAATATATCCCTATCCAGCCAATGGAAAATTTCCCCTTGAAATTAAAAGCAAATGTTTTTAATAGAGGAACACTCATAAACAGATGCTGTGGAAGACTGCTTAGTTTGGATTTCATTTTGCACTAAAAATTACCAGGAATTAAAATACATGTGATTAAAAAATAATCTTAAAGAGAATCTTAAAACTGGATCAATTATTCCTATCACCCAATAAGATCCTCTTAATTTTACCATCACTATTTTCAATAAAAGATCAGAATAAAAATCTATTTTGGAAATGGGTTCCTTATATGAATAATAGTGAAAGGGAATATAAGGGAAGGGAGAAGAAATGTGTGGGAAACATCAGAAAGGGAGACAGAACATAAAGACTCCTAACTCTGGGAAACGAACTAGGGGTGGTGGAAGGGGAGGAGGGCACGGGGTGGGGGTGAATGGGTGACGGGCACTGAGGGGGACACTTGACGGGATGAGCACTGGGTGTTATTCTGTATGTTGGTAAACTGAACACCAATAAAAATCAATTTATTAAAAAAAAAAGGAAATGGGTTCCTTTTTTTTTTTTTTAAGATTTTATTTATTTACTCATGAGAGACACAGAGAGGGAGAGAGAGAGGCAGAGACACAGGCAGAGGGAGAAGCAGGCTCCATGCAGGGAGCCCTATGTGGGACTTCCTGGGGCCTTCAGGATCATGCCCTGGGCCGAAGGTAGGTGCTAAACTGCTGAGCCATCCAGGCGTCCCTGGAAATGGGTTTCTTATAAACAAGTTTAGCTAATTTCCTATCACTGTAAAATTAAAAGGGTAAAAAAACAAAACAAAACTGAAAATGCAACCAACAATATTTTAAAACTTATAAAATCTGGTCTAGGGCAGCCCCAGTAGCTCAGCGGTTTAGTGCCGCCTTTGGCCCGGGGCCTGATCCTGGAGACCCGGGATCGAGTCCCACATCGGGGTCCCTGCATGAAGCCTGCTTCTCCCTCTGCCTGTGTCTCTGCTTCTCTTCTCTCTGTCTCTCATGAATAAATAAAATCTTTAAAAAAAATTTAAAAAAAATTAAATCTGGTCTAAAAAGAGAAAAAGGTCCAAATGAAATACCACAGAATAACTGGTACTATTACAAATGCCTCCTTTTAATTGGTCTGCATCAACTGTAACTCTTATAACTACCAAGACAACAAACTCAGGCAGTCCAACCCCTGGAACCAAAGTCTGTGGGAACCTGCAGAGCTTCCTTCTCTCTCGGGGATGAGGACAAGGATAAAAGGTGTTCTGTTTTCCAGTAGTCCTGTAAGAGGAGCCATTGAGCTGGGCCACACAACCAGACAACAGAGCACAGGAAAATTTAGATCAAAGCAAGGACGCATGCCAGGGTAATATGCAATAAAACCCTTTGCCAAAGCACTCAGAAGAAAAAAGCAAGGAGGTGGAGAGAACCTGCTGGACCACCTTCTTAACACAGGGAGACGGAGAAACAAAATCTGCTTCTACTGAGGAGCTGAGAAGACAGCGTCCCAGATACATCGGAGTATTTCAGTAGACGTGTATATGGGTAAATGGACATATTACCAATGAACTAAACCCAGAAAGCAGTGTCCTGTATGTTCTGGAGTATTCCCCCCCCACACACACACACATATATTACCTAAACCCCAAAAAGTAAAGTGTTCTAGGTATGCAGATATATTGAGAATATGAATTTCCAACGAACACATAAAAACATTCATTTTCAATCAACAAGACGCACTGGTTTCACAGTAAGAAACAAAATATTGTTTGAAAGAATATCAGGGACAGAATTGGGTGACGGTCTGATAAAGCAACATCTCTTTTTCTTCATATCCTTTTTAATGATCTCGGATTCTGTCATATCATAGGGGAGGACGGACGGACGGACACACACACACACAATTAGGTCTCCGGAAACAAAGGAGGGTCCTTAATTCCCCGGTTTGGGGACGCACACACGCCCCCCGCCCACAGATAGGGGCCACCACCTGACTTCAATGAGTAAGCTGAGGCGATAGGTCTCACCCCAGCCCACAGCCCTACACAGTGACAAACGGGCACGAGACAAACGCCACAAAGAAAGGGGAGGGGCAGGTGGGGACCAGGAAAACACTGCCACGCCGCGCCCCCCAAGGCGCGTTCTCAACCGCAGCGCGGAGGCAGCCGTCCTCGCCATCCTCGTCCTCGCTTCCCCGCTTATCCAAACCGCCTCCCCAGCCCGGGGGCCGGCGCCGGGCACGGGCGCGCGGGGCGCCGCGAGCCTTCCCTCTGTGACCTCCCGGTGACAGCCGCGCGCCGCCCTTTGTGAGGGGCTGAGCCTCCGGTCCGGGCGGACTCCCCCCTTCCGCGTCCCTCCCGGCCTGGGCCGCGGTCCCACCCCTCCTCGTCCCCGCCGAAACGCCCGGAGTGTGAATGGGGGAGGCCGGCGCGGGCCCACCGTCTCCTCAGCATCCCAAGCCCGGAGCCGCCCGGTCCCCTAAGCCTCAGGCGGGGGGGGGGGAGTGCCCCCGGCGCCCCGCCCTCGCACCCTCACTTACTCGGGCGCGCCGGCTGTGGCGGCGGGCGTGCGGGACCGTCAGCGCCGGGCGGCAGAAGGAAGGCTGCGGAGGGCGAGCGTCGGTCGGGACCGAGCGCGGCTGAGGTGGCGGCGGCGGACTGCGCTCGGCGGCCCCCGACGAGGGGCGGGCCCGGCGGGGGAGGGGCGGGCGCCGCGCCTCTCATTCATGCAGCGGGGGCGGGGTGAGGGACCCGGATGCCCGGGCAGCTCCCGCCCACCCAGCTGAGGGTGCCTTGCCTTCAGAGTCTGCAGTGCGCAGGCGCGGCGCTCGGTGGCCGGGCCTGGTTCCGCCCCGCCCCCTGGGGGCGGGGGAACGATTCCACCCGCTGAGCTGCAGCGGCGAGATGACTCCCTCGTCTGTTTAGTATTTTGACATGTATATGAACATTTTTTTTTTTTAAGTGAGAGTCTGGGACGCTACCTCCCTCCTAGAACCCAGCCTCCCAATCTCCGAGGGTACAGGGATGCCCATTAGTTTGACGGAAAGACCGTACACGCCGCCCCCATCCTCCATCTGTCTCTCCAGCAGCAGGTCCTCTCCGCTGAATGCTGGCACCACAGCGGTAGATGAGACCCGGAATCCACCCAGAAGGTGGAGAGAAGCCTGTGCAAGAAAGAGTGCATTACATTGTTTATTTGCATTCACCTGGCACCGTCAGCCTCCAGCTCTCATTCCACAGGGCAGGCAAGAAATTGACCTTGATTTCTCTAAAATCAAGGCCTAGGGTTTTGCAGCTCCAAGGACCTGTAGAGGCCTCTCATCCTTGGTAGGCAGTGTGTTCTGTGGAGACACCCTCCTGGGCTTAGCCTTTCAGCTCTGCCACTCGTAGGCCATGGAAATCTTTGGTGATGCTGGGAGCCTGCAGGAGGAGGCCTTACAGCCTTCCCTTCTGAAGTTCCTCAGTTGAGTGTGAGGGACAGCTTAGTCTCCATGTCCCCTTCTGAGGTTTTCCTTCTTTTCCTACCTTCCAGGCTTCCCTCACGTTAACCATAAGCAACTCAGTGGCTTAAATTTGGGACACAGAAGTTATCACGGAAAGTGCCTGTAGACAAATTACTTCTGCTTTGGCAAACCGTAAGTCTCCAAGGCAAACCATGAGCTTTGGTAAACCATAAGCCTCCAAGGCAAAAGGGAAATAAAGACAGAAACATCAGTGAACACCTCAACAAGTTATCCAGTTGTTACAGTTGCCCAAAGTTGGAGAGATGTTTGGAGGCGCGTGTTCTGTAGAGTGTGGCAAAAGGAAGGATGTGGGAGACCCACTCTTCCTCTAAGCTGGGCTGTCAACACCTACCCCCAGCCTTTCAAGCCAAGAACCTCAGGGGCCCTTTCTTTCTCTCCTTTCCCTTCTAGGTCTCAATGGGAGCTGTTGTCAGAAGGGCCTTCCCAGCTCTGATTTGCTGATACCTGTCACTCTGTCTAAACTAGGCCTCCTGGTCTCTCTCCTGGCCCATTGATACTCATGCAAATCAATTCTCAGGATGTGCAGATCTGCCCATGTTACCATCTTTTTCTAAAGTGCCCCACTTAGTACTTTGACCCTTATTTTCCAGACATTTCCAGAACAATACCATAGTGTTTCACCCTTGGTGCCTGTGTTCATGATGTTCTTTCTCTTTGCTAGGGAAGCAAAACTTCTCGAGGAACACTCAAGAGTCATTTTTTAAAATGAAGTCTTCCTTCCTTTCCCCACCTTGTTGACAGACTTTCTTTTGGAATCCTCCTGAGTCCTGTACCCAAGTCCCTCTCAGACCCACGCACACTTAGGATTCATAGTCATTTGCTAGTATTTTCCTCCCTCAGCAAAATGTGAGCCTTCCAACGGTGGGAACAATGTCTCCTCGAGATCTAGCAGGTGATTGGCAAACAATTAGGGAGCAATGGTTGCTGGGGGAGGTGATGTTCCCTGGTGGGCCAGGGAGATTCCACAGGGGTAAGAAAAGCTGAACTCTCTTTTCTTTCTCCCTCCTTTCTTGTGGCTTCCTTACCTGCCTTGTGTTAGGAAACCTGTTTTGTTTGTTTAAAAAGCTTAGCTAGAAATTCTCTAGTCCAAGCCGGCTGTAGGCTGGAGGGTGGAGTGGTTTTTAGCTTCAGGTGCTTTGTCCTTATGAAACTCAGGAGAGAAAGAGAGAGAGCGAGTAGTGGATTGTTCTTTGTTCCTCTTGGGAGAGAAGTCAGATTTTTTTGGTGGTCTGGTGTCTCCAGCTGGAGATTCACAAGATGATCCATGATCCTATCTGCCTAGTAATACAGAAGGCTCTACATCCCTGTCATTATACCCACCTAGGCAAAACGCATGTGGGGGTGGATTGTGGGCACATTAAGAAAGATCTGGGCAATCAGGGGGTACCCTCAAACAGCAGACATCCAGAACTTGAAGTAGTAGTGGCTTTCTCAGCTGACATGGGCCCTTGTTCCTTGTGGTGGAGGAATGGGAAAGGCTTCACTGTTTAGGACTTCGGAGGATAGCTCTCTCTTTCCTCTCCCCTGAGCCCTCTCATCCTTTTCCTACATTATACTTCATTTAAAGCATTTCCTCACTTCAACCCCATGACTCAGAAAACTGCCCTTACCTACATGGTCAAAAGTGTTTCAAGACTCCTCTAACCTTCTGGAAAATAAATAACATTGAATTTTAAATCCAGTGTTAGTGACCAATTTTGGAACAGTAATTTTCTGGATGGTAACTGTTAAGCAGCAAGGGCTGCTTCTAGTCATCTTGGATCAACACAAGTTTGCCAAATGACTATATGATGAATAAAAGCAAAAGTCAGGGATCCCTGGGTGGCTCAGCGGTTTGGTGCCTGCCTTCAGCCCAGGGCATGATCCTGAGGTCCCGGGATCGAGTCCTACTTTGGGTTCCTGGCATAGAGCCCGCTTCTCCCTCTGCCTGTGTCTCTGCCTCTCTCTCTCTCTCTCTCTCTCTCTCTCTCTATCATGAATAAGTAAATAAATCTTAAAAAAAAAAAAGCAAAAGTCTGTCAAAGAGAAGCTAGAAATCAAAGGTTGTCTGTCCTTAGCTCAACCCCTCTGCCCACCCTCTCCTCTTGGTGAGGACTATTCATCTGTTGAGTGATGGGCACTATCCCAGAAAAACATTCCTCATATTGGCCAATGATCTGGCTGCTTAGCTATCTAGACCTCTGAATGACCCTTTCAAGGGCTGACCAATCAATGCTTTGACCCTTTGCACTGGGTCAGCAGATGAGTCTCACCCTTTCTGTGAGAGCCTGAGGCATGCTCCTGTGTTCCCTGAACCTCTTCATTTGAGAATTACAGTCTCCTACTGGGCCTCCTCCTCCAAGAACCCTCCCAATAGCACATGTGGACCCCTAGATGGGATGTGACCCTGCCCATAGAGGCCTGAATTGCTTCTTGATGCAGGATGTGTGTACACAACTATGAAACAGTGCAAGTGTGGGAGGAAGTGGAGACTTTTATGGGCAAGGTAGTTTTGGGTAAGACTGCATCCACCCTCAGAAACAGAAGTCATAGATTCTGTCCTCAGCCACCAGCAATCCATGCTGCCTTTCTGGCCCCCACAGGCCCAATCACTCAAACAGAACTCAGAGCCCTGAAAATATAAATGTGTTCAGGATCCCAGGCAAGAGTTACCTGAGACTAGCTTCAGATGGAGGAAGTGAAGGCGCAATTTTCCAGGGGGTGGTGCAGCCTGCTCAGACTAACTCTTGGATTAGAGTACACCTGTCTTAGTGTGGATTCTCCCCAAAAGAGGTCCAAGACAAGGGCTGGGATGCAGGTAATTCACTTAGAAAGTAATCGCAGGAAACAAGAGTGAAGAAATGGGAAAGCAGGATATGGAAAGGAGAAAAGCCAATACCAACGTGGGCTGATGAGCCTGTTATTGGCATGGGCAACAGTGTTTCCATCCTGCTGGCAACTCAGAGAAACCATGTGGCACAGTCCTCTCAAATGATGAGGAGAGTGGAATATTTATCTACTGACTTTCATCTTCCTGTTGCTTCTAGATGACCAGATGGAACTTTCTGATTATGGCTGTGCAGCAAGGCAAGCTACCTAGCTCAACTTCTGCCTCTGCCACTACCACCACCGTCAGAATCCCACCATCACCATATTCCTGCCCTTCTTGAGTTCTCTTACCCAATTGTATCACTACTTTTTTCTCTTTGTTCTGAGGTCTGAGCTTGTAAGAGGAAGTGAAGTAGGGTGATCACTTTGCCCACAAAGTGTTCTAGGAAAAAGGAACTATAGTTGTTCTTCCCCCATCTGAACCTATCCAGTCTACCCATACAGCTCTCCACCATCATCACCTCATCCCAAATCAAGGGACAGGAAAGAAAGAGAGGGAGCAAGAAAGCAGGCAGGTTTTTTGGAATGACTTCTGGCATCACAGAGTCATAGAAGAATAGCTAGAAGGAATGAACTATCTCCTTAGGAAGATGAGACTCAGTATCTTTTGCTTCTCCTGCTGCTGTAGCACCTCCTATAAGCAGGCTTCCCTGGTTTATCTTGTCTTGCCACCCTTCTAACCCATATGATCATAATTGGGACTCAGTCCCTCATGCCCACTGAAGGCTCGGAGACAGGCAAAGACCATGACTGGGGCAAGAACCTTGAACTCTGTGGTGGAGTTTGTCCTCCACCATGAGGCACAACTTCCATCACCGGCCTGTGGCTCCCTTACAGAGAGTTCTCACCTGCCTGTCTGTCATCCAAAGAAGGACACCAGAAGAGCAATGCTGGGAGGCAATATGTTTCTAATACCACCAGAGGCTTCTTTCCCCACCCCCCCTTGGTTAAGATGGTGAAATGACCCTACACATCTACTTCTGCTCCTCCCTGAAACACCCTAAAACTATTCTAGAGGGATTTTTTTTTTTTAAGAGAAGGACAGAGAATAGAAGGGGGAACCATGGCAAAAAGAATTTTGTAAGCTGGAAAACAGATGGATGAGTGGTGATTGACTTAGCAGACTCAAGAAAGCAAAAAACCAGGAAAAGCTAAGAACAGCCCGTTTTTCACAGCAAAATCCTAAAAGCAAAACAAAACAAAACAAAAACTCAAAAAAACAAACAAACAAAAAAAGGAATTGGCAGTCCTCAATAGCTCTGGAATGGAGCAAGCTGCAATCAGAAGAAC